CTTGTTATTGTGCCAGGTTTAGGGTCATTTCACCTATTTATCCTTACAATAAGCAGCAACATATGTGTGTTCTCTGATTCTGTCCTTTCAAGCAGATTCTGTGTCTGGTCTGCAGCAGACTTCTTTTTCTAAGCTTGTGACTCAGCTAGATCAGAGGATGAATGCTGCTCATTTCCCCCCTTTTATCTCATGTTGCCAGAAACTTCAGACAATAAAGTGAAGATGTAGCTGAGGAAAGAATATATATAATATCATATGTAATATATAATATATATAAAATATATAAATATTATATATATATATATGATTTCTATCCAGAGAAATAGACCATCCCTTCTCATAATTAGTTTGTCATATATAATAGTAATATATATCTGTATTATTGCTTACTACTGACAAAACAAATTTGTTCTTGTTCTTATGCATTGCTTTACTCTTTATGTATATGTATATGTATTTGTGTGTGTGTGTGTGTGTGTGTGTGTGTGTGTGTGTTTACTTTAACAAGCATTAAGATCAATTAGATCTTAAAAAAACTCAGGGAATTAGCTACACCACTATCCTCATTTTACTTTACTTGGTAAAGTCTGTTACAGGGATATTTAGCATCTTATATCATTCCTAATGTTACTCTTGCAGCATTTTCAATGGAAAAAATAGCCCTTTCTCTCTTTGTCTCTCTAACAGTTCCTTTGTAGACACCAGGCAGATGTCTACAAATATTCTCATGTTGGGAACTATTACAAGATCCAAAGAATAGTAGAAGTTCAAGTATTTGTTTAATAAATATCAGTAGGTTCCTTAGTGATATAGTTGATAAATTATAACTGGTCCCTAGAAGGGGGCAGGACTTCCTGGGAAATTTAACTGTGTTTTCTTTCATTTTTCATCAGCTCAGAGCTCTGGGACCTTCAGGAGGAGGTAGGTTACCCTGCTGCCTGCACTGAGACAGAATCCCACCCCTGCACCTGAAGCCTGAGCCTCCCATTTTACCTCCCTTTACCCTCTCCTTACATCTATTGGTGCCTGACTTCTAGTTGCAAACCCCAGGGTGTGGAACTTAGTACTGGTTTGTTTCCCCAGGATTTCTGAAAGTTTAGTTGTTTAGGGGAATCTTGGGGGAAGGCCTGGAGAGAAAATTTGGCTATCTTCTGATAATCCCCACCTTTCCCATTTTACTATTGCTTTTCTATCTCTCCATCCCTCTACTTCTCCCTCCCTCCTGCTTTTCTCTGGGATAAGTGATGTTTTCTCTGTTTTGTGTATGTTTGTGCTGTCAAATGTGGCTTTAAGTCTCCATCCAACTCAATCATTGCAGCTCCCAAGCCTATCTATGTCAAAACTGAGATTGCTGCTGTCTCTTTTTGTAAATTCCTGGGCAATGAGAATCTAGGACTGAAAATTTAAAGATTGAATCACTCTCTAATTCTGGGCAAGCCCCATGCTGCAGCCCAAATCTCTTCCTGGCTGACCCAGGTTTTCCACTTCTCATAACAGGCTGTTAGGGTGTGGTCCACTGGATTCTCCTGCTCCTCCCCTCCCTGCCTGCCTGAGACTTCTTCTGTCAGACTCTTACATCTCTGATGTCCTGTCTAGACAGAGCTCTCAGGATGAGAGAGAAGCTCTCTCTCCTGGGTAGCTGAAAGCTTGGATTTTTCTCAGTCTTTGGTCTGCTTTTTTCCTGTATGAATCTACTGCCTTAAGTTTCCTGTGGGTGTTATTAGATGTTCTTTCTCTGACTTAGCCCAGACTCTTCTACCTGTCCCACTTAGGGATCATCCTGGAAGCCCTTTTCCTCAGCATGTTTTCCTCTTCTCTAACCTGCTACTTTCCTCTTGTGTTGTTTTAAAATAGTGGGGTGTTTTACAATGCACTGTTTTTATTCAATTGCCTGTAATAACAGATTTGGAATGAGGAGCCTGGTTATTGCTCTGGATTTGTATAACAAGGCTTGTTGCATAGGAAATACAAGTGATATCACGTGGATAATCAGCATGGGCACGATTTCAAATTTTGTTAAAGTGGAGACTGTTTTTCTAGGTGTGGGAGTGGGTGTGTATGTGTGCGTGTTTGTGGATCTAACTCAAGGTCTTGTTTGTTCTAGACAAGTATTTCATTACTAGCAAAATCATCACCCTTTAAATAATGATTTGGATCAGTATAGTGAGTTTACAAATATTTTTACCCAATGCTTCAGAAAGCTTGGGCAGGGATCATTCCAGAAGGAAAGCTGTTCCTCAAAAGAGCCCCTGTTTTCGTGCCTGCAGGTCCCTTAGGTAAGCATGGCATTCTCTATATTCTCTCCAGGGCTCTGGATAAGCACATGTGTGCTATTGTTCTCCAGCATGCTCTGAGCTCCAGGTGGTGCCATTTTAACTCTTTAAGTCCTATTTTTAGTGAAAGTCCCTGTTGGTCCTGGAGATGGCAGCCCAAGTCACACTGTATCAGATCAGGGAGAGGCAAGCTAGCACATGATCCAGTGCAGAATGGACTCAAAATGACTCCCTGGAGCATGAGGATTCAGCATTAGGATTAAACCCACCTGTGGGCCCCCTGGATAAAAGAATTGCCTTTAATTCTTGTTTTTGTTCCTTAGGTTTTTTTTTTTTTGTTTTTTTTCAATTTCCTTGGATTTTCCTCCAAAATGATTATAAAATTTGAGAGGAATGTTTAGGACAGTCTGATTTAAAATGTGGGACATGTTGCATGTATACTACTTGAATACTAGAATAATTTGGACATAGCAATTAAAAAAAAGAACTGTGACATGTAAAAGAAAAGTCACAAGGCATTTGGTACAAGGTCTAGGAGACTTAAGATGCTTCTTACATGGGAGTCTGAATAGAATGATTCATAATGATTAACAGTAAATGTTTGTTGAATAATAGTAACAAGGACAACACAAACAATGCTGGTATCTGTTCCAGTTTAAAAATACTAATGTAGGAATTTTGCATATATTACTCCAAATGTGAAATGAAGGTGTGATGGTTATTATTTTGGAAAGATAATACCGAATTTCAAGGGAGATTAAGGTTATGATAGTATAGTGGGAAATGAGGGTCAGAACACTGAGATCTGGAAGCAATAACTTATTAGTAGCACCACAGCTCAGAGGGATATTTGCCAATGTCTAAGCCCTAAGCATAATAGGGCTTATACTTTTATACACAAGCAAATTTGGGGTATATCAAGGTAAGGGAGTTGGTGCAATTCTATTGGAAGGTGCATTCTACATTTCTTATATAGGTACAAGTTTGTCAACAGTCTAGGGACTCAGTTCACATAGCTTAGGGATTTCTATGGCACTAAGCCTAAATGGGGATTGTTCTATTCCCACTACTTTTTTCCTGTTTCTGTTACTGCAGTTATCTGTTACAGCTACTTGTTAGCCGCTTCAAACCTCTATGGTTAAATGTCATTAAGCAGATTTGCTATGTGTCAGTGTGCGAAACCACAGCCTGTCTGCTCTTAAACTGCTAAAATTCTCATTTTGCTCTACCATGGGATCTATTCAATATTCCCAAGGGAACAGTGTATTAAATGCACTTTTGAGCTTTTGAAAAAGTGGAATTGCTGTTTTAAGTAGGCTCAAGGGTTTTAAAATTTCCTGTTTAGTGAACCTTGTTCAATCATACAGCATCACCCACCCCCACTCCTGGGGAGGGTTGTCATTTAGAAGGAGCCAAACTATCACATTCTGTCCCCTTTTCCTCCTCCTTTTGTTCTAGATCCAACCCTAACTTCCTGAATGTATTCTTATGAAAGAGGGAGGCTCATAATGTACTAATATTTGGATGCATATCTCCCAATATGTCTCTCTGCTCATAATGTGTCTTTTCCTCAGATCACCTTGTCAGCATGGGGGGCTCCTGTGGCCTAATCACTCTCCAACAGGAGCCAGGTCACCTTATGTCCAACCCTTGTGTACCAGTGCTAGCCCAACCCCTAACCTGCAAGAGGTCTTCTATTATAGCTTGTGGAACTCTATTATAGCTTGTGGACCTATCCCCAGAGGCACTGAAGAACTTCTCTGTCCATCCTTGAGTTTGTGGCCAGTGTGTCTGCAACCTTAAACTGTGATAATGAGGAGAAAGTCCTTTTGGAAGCCTCCTTTATGTACCCAATGGAGGAAGACTTTGATGTCTTTAGCTTCGAGGACATGATGGATGGGAAGAAAATTGTGGCAGAATTACAGGACAAGATGGAGGTACAGGAGATGGGTTCTTTGTCTTCTCCCTTCCTTTAATGATTAATGTGAACTCTTTAAGATCACATTCAAATGCATCTTCACAAAAAGTGCTGGTGTTGGATGCTTTTTCCTCCACTCACATCTAAATGCTGATTTTCCTGAAATCATTTAAGGATAAATCAGTTAAAGGCATTCAAACTCCAGGTGTGAAATTGAGAAGACTCATTAATTTCTTTCTCTAACAGTCTTTATTTTCTGTAGTCCTGTCTTTTCGTTTGTTGTTACCTTTCATTCCCATCCCTCGTATTTTCCTTAGGCCCAACACAACTATGAGGGTGCCATATCCCAGGGTCAGGAGGCCTATTTATTGAAGGAGGACTCATACTCCAGAGATGTTGCAATGTGGGGAACCTCCAGCCTGGGTCAAAGGTGGAGCTCACCCTGAGGTATGTTCAGGAGCTGCCCTTGGACACTGATGGGGCCCTGCACTATATACTCCCAGCCATCCTGAATCCTAGATTCCATCTCCCTGGTGAATCCTTTTCCCCTTTGAATACTGGGGTGGCATAATAGGGGACTTTTTTCCTTCATTTTGGGGTGTGCAAAAACTATTAAAAAGGAAAACAGAATGAAATTAATTTTTTGTAGAACATCTTATAGATAGTTGCCTTGATATGAAAACTCCTCTAGTCACCTTGGAGGAACTGCCCTACACACTCAGCATGGTTGCCACCATCCGCTCCCAGCATGGCATCCAGAGGGTCCACTCCAACTGCCCCTTGAGTGCTGTTGAGTTCCTTGCAGATGATAAGACTTCTGCTCAGGTAATCAGTAAGAGAGGACTGTTGTTGCCAGGACCCT